CAACGGCCCCGTGCGGCCGTTGGCCCGGGGACGCCGCCAACGGCCCCGTGCGGCCGTTGGCCCGGGGACGCCGCCAACGGCCCCGTGCGGCCGTTGGCCCGGGGCGCCGCCAACGGCCCCCGCTGCGCAGAGCCTTCCTCAGGGAGGCCTCCTCGCACGAGCCCGTTGGGGAGCATGGTGGGATCCCTGACACGAGTTTAAATCACGACGGGCATTTCTCAGAGATGCCAACAACACAGAGAGCATCTCGAAGAGCCGCGTTCCCCTAGTGTTTATCCTCAGAGATGATGCTTTTTGCAGGAAAAAGCAAGAAAGCACGAGAGAAGAGGGCGTTGTTGACCATGGCTACCTGATAGGTGTTTCTCAAGCTGCCCTCCCGTGCTGAGGATAAAGAACACAACCCAGGACAAGGCTGGTCCTGGTCCCAGTGAAGGGCTGAAACCGGAACCCAGTGGGCTTCATGTTTCACACAAAGCAAATCCTTCCTCTCAAAGTAATAGGCTAAAGCACATAAATAATCTCAACACATGCCCGAAATTTTCAATTTGGCATATCATTAATCCATAGTTTCTGGGACATTTAAAAATTCAGTAGCATTTTTTTCCAGATTCTGTATACAAATGCTTTATCTTAAATGATGGGCTGTAATCAGGTACTAAATGCTGATATTGGTGAAGTGCTTAAATAAAATCCAACAAAACCATTTTTTTCTTCCAACCAATTATTTCCTCCTTTCTCCTTCCCACTTCCACATCTCCTTCAGGATTTATATTTGAGCAGCCCAAGGAAAAAGAGATGGGGCTACGATCTGTCATGAATGAAAAGATGACAAAAACAAACGGAAAAAAAAAGTCTAACTGATTCCAGAAGCAAGGTGACAGAAAAGTCTCCTTAGGGTTTGTTACCACAAGTCAGCCAGTTGCATTTAGAGTTCTCTGAATCAGTTGGAGATTAAGTATGAGAATTCAGAATAGAGAGAGGATGGGACAGACAATCTCCTGGTAGGTTTCTACACTCTTAACACCATGTCAGCCAACTTGAAAAAGAAATATTTAACAGGAATGCTGGCACTTGGCTGTTAAACACTTGTTTAAGTACCTCACATCTGACATCATTCAGAATTTGTACCTAACACCAGCGGAAGTAACATGTGAAGATGAAAACATTAGAAAATGAGCATGTCTTATAAGCACCCAAAAGAGCAGCGTGCGACCCCACGGAATAGTTTTTACAGCTGAAGCAAAGCTCCTGTATGAAATCCCAGAGCACCAACAGAAGCAAGAAAATAGGATTAACAAAGCAGCAGCTCAATTTCATAAAAGCAAAGTGTGACGAGGTGAAGAATCTGCAGGCCTGGGATTCCCAGCCTGCTTGAAAATACTGTCACCAACCAACACGTAAAGAAACTGCGTCATCGCAGTAGGGTCGTAATAGTGAAATTTCAAAAAAAAAAAAAAATCACTCTGAAATTGTTAAATAAGCAGCTTCCCATAAAACTTGGATTTGATTGGATTTTTTTTTTGATTTTAAGTGTAAATGCATGATTTCTAATGCATTCTATTGTGCACAGTCATGTTTTGTTTAAGGATGTAAATATTTCGTTATCAGGGCTATGAATCTCATTAATCTCAGTTTCCACCCTTATAACACCAGTGTGAAAACTTCACATGAATCTCAAGGTTTCTTGAAAAGCACCTCTATGTTCAGGTTTTTTTTTTCCACCTGTTATTCTATCATTCTTGAGACAACATTAAACATTTCAAACAGAAAAGATTTCAAATGTCAGAACAGTGGCACAAAAATAATTAAAAAATCCCTTCAATAAACATTAATTATTAACTAACTAGATCTTATGAGCTGCTGCATTAAAACTACATTAAAGCTGCATTGAAATAACTCCCTTTGTTAGCCCTTACTCAAAAACAGACACCAATGAATTTAACACAAGTTTAAAGGTTTTTTTTTAAACTACAGTTTAATCAGATTTAGAGACACAAATTAGAAAAAAACATTTATAGGCAAGTTAAAAACACCTTTAAAACATAAAAGCAAGCTGCTTCTGCAGCACTGCTGAGACAAATTAGAAATAAGTAATTATTAAAATATCACAATCACAGTGTAACTAACAGTGGTATTTTAATTTTACCATACACCAACACTTAGTTTATGGATCTGTTGAAAAATAACACTTTTTAAAAAATATATATTTTGGAATAATAAAAATGAAATTCACTGACAATGCATTATATTCTGAACCAGGAAAGGCAAGTTGAGGAATACTGCCGCTATCCACTTTTGGGGATGTTTTCTCATCGTAACAAATGGGTATTTGCAGGCATAACTACTTCTGCTTTGAGGTAAAACTATTCCCTTGAACGTGTAACCAAGGCAGGAAAGAACAAAGTTCCATATTTTCAATTGAAAAACTGCTTACAACATCTTTGAGTAACGCTATATTTTACCCATCTTACACTAGTTTTCAATCAATACATTTTGAACGCTGTGTTCTAACTGATCTAGGACACATCTGAGGTCTGGAATTTAAGAATAACTATCTAGTTACTATTGTGTCATTTTTGACACCTTTGTCACAGTAAGACACAGCAGAAGATTCTTCATAGAAATAGTCAAATATCACGGGACAAGGAAGGTAAAAAGACAAAGTGCTAAGAAAACTGATAAACACATAAGAAGGCAAAATATGCGTAGGCAATTACTCCTTTTCTTTGACTTATTGTGACAAAAGTTTGCTGCACCTTTAATACGTAGAGTTGCACTGTTCTGACTGCCAGTCTCTAGGAACCCTGTTTCACTATTTTTTTTTGTCCCCTCTTGTATCTTCACAGTTTGGAAGTTGATAGCCAAAGTCAGGCTGAACCACAGATCACAGCTCTCTGCTCATACTAGATGCTTTAGTAAAATTAAATTCTAACCCGGGGCATTTTTTTCCCCCTCAGATAATGAGAGCAAAATTAAAGTCACATTTGAAGGAAAAAGTTTCTCTCAGCAGTTGGTCTGGCATAAGGTACTAGACCGACGCCTTATTAATACAAACAGTTTTCTCCAAAAGCAGCCCGGCATAGCGTCCAATTTAGGTTTCAATAACCAAATTCCATATTCATAGACTGCTGCAGAAAATCCTGGAAAGGTTCCTTTTGCAGCAAACCAAAAGCAGCCCTTTACTTTCTTTATAAGCCCTAACTTACAGATTCTCTTCTCCCTGTAGGAAACAGAAAGCACTCTAAGAACAGAACTGATTTCAGGAAATACAGTGTACAATTGGGGATCTCTAAACTAGGCTCACATAAATATTGATATGGCCTATTTATTTTAAATATGCATACTATAGGCAGCTACAGTGTGTCAATCCATGAAGTTTACACTATGCTTATATAGATATGCAGAGGAATCCGGGCAACTTAAAAATGCTTAAAATGTAAAAGCAGGTCTAAGTCACAGGACACAGTGCTCACACAGATGAGAATGAGCTAACAAAATTTGCCTTTGCACATTTCTAACTGCAAGGTGAACAAAATGTTTTTTTTTAAATATTTCTTAACAGAATGAACATTGCTTCGGTTGATAATAAGGTTTTGTTAAAATATACAATAAATCACCTCAAAACACGTTTTTAAGAAATTAAAAATAATAAAAATATATTCTTTTAACCCTAATAAACCACCACTGCAGTATTTGCAATGTTAATGCTTTAGGGTGACTTTGCAGATGCCTGGATATCCTGCTGTTTTACCAAGGGCCTGGATCGCAAGCGAGAGGGACACTCCGCAAGCTCTGCACTGCAGGGAGGGCAGCGGCCAGGGCAGGGCAACGAACTCAGGCCCAGGTAGATCCAGATGCATCGTGAGAAAAAGGCTCGGTTTAGCAGAGCCTCTGTCTGTCTAGACACTCGTTTTAACATAGCAGTTAAGTGCTGGTTTTACTTTAAGCTTTTATAGCCAATTGGTTTTGGGGCAGGGCTTTAAGAAACTGCTCAGTATTACTGGATATAAATAAATAAATAAAGGCTAATGATGTACTTAGCTGCCATGATGAATCAACACTGAATCTAGGCATATTTTTGTATCCAGAGCCTTCATACTAACATACTGAAAGGTACTTCCTTCTGGTGGGCAACACCAACCACCTTTCTAAATTAATGACACCATTTCCAAAATTTTCTTTTAAAAGAAAGTTTTTAAACCTGATTTCAGAACTCTACGAGAAGTGGCAAGGAAGAGACCAAAGCCAGGGAAACGAAAGCCCGAGCGATTGCAAATGGCACCATTAAACTTCATCCTTCTGAGGCCAGTTTGCAGAGCTGAGCGTGGGAAAGCCTACAGGTAAGCATCAGTGACACATTTACATGCATTCATATGGAGGATATATTTGATCATGTACTTAAATGTACAATTTGTCTGCAAAGCTTCTAAAAGACAAGCCAAAAGCTGTTGAGGAAGCCAGGATCTTGCAGTGCTGTTTGCAAAAAAGCAGATCTCATCCACATCAGAAGTTTTACCACTAACTGGATGAGTGTCACTAGAGGGGCCCAGCTACCCTGTGTGCATCCTGTCATGCACCTGGAGCAGTGCTTCTACTTGTAGCATTTGTTCCCATAGGGGAGAGGCAACAAGTTATAGAGGTGTAAAATTCTTTTAATAAATAATATACCGTGCTGGCAAAACAGCTTGAGTCATGATATCAAACAGGCCAGTGTGGGGCTGGGGATATACCAGGCTATCTTTGTAAAGTACTCTCATTGAAATATCCCTTCTCATCAAGAGTGGATTAAAGCACACACCAATATTTTTATATGGCAAAATGTTTCAAAATGTCACCAGTTACTGAAATATTGTATATGTATCAGCTTAAGGAATGTGTGTGGAAGAGTAAAGCTTCTGAATAAGAAGGGCATATATGCGACCATAAAGCCAACAGAGCCTTCTCCATCACAACAGTAGTAGGCACCACTGAAACTATGATTTAAATATAATATAGATATTTTTCATTCATACAGAAAAGATTAAAAATAGTAGCAAACAGTTACTATGCAGATGACTACATTTAGTCACTAACATTAACACATGAAGTGCCTGGAAGAATCATTCACAATAGGCAAATACCTGCAAAGCACCATAAAGTTATGAAGGATATGTTCTACTTACTTTGTAGAGTGTGCTGAACTGGAATACAATAAAGGCTTTTCACCTTTTAGATGTACATAACAAATAAGAGAAAAAAGTCTTTAAACCAGGTTACCTTCATGCCCAAAATGTTTCTAAAAATTTCACCTTCTAGTATTTTTATTGAGTAATAGCAATAATAAGTCACAAACATCCTTTCAAATCCAATATTATAAAATTACATGTGTAAAAACTAAGAGTTTTCTGAAGCACGAGAGCTGCCTGCTCTTGATTTTTTAAATGGACAGAATCCAGTGCAACGTCTTCATCTGCGGTAGCAAGGTAGGTAACTAGCAAAGCACAAGGAAAACAAAAATAAAAACAACTGGGACCAGAATGTTGTCATTAAATGACCAGAAACCCAAACCCCAACACACAACTCTTTCCATAGTCACGATACGTAACTGATTTGCATGAAGAGATGTAGTTCGAAGTACCTTTATATTCAGCAAATGATACTTAAAGCATCAATTCTGGGACACTTCAGAAGAAATCGTGTGCAGAACCAATGGAACTGTCAATTTCCTAAAGCTGCACTGTTTGAAGGGGCTCAAATCATGAAGAAAAAAACAACTGTAATGCCTGCCGAAGCAAGTCACATCCAATTTCGGAACTGTACTTTGCCGCTAGATGGGCTTTGCTGCCCATCTAAAGCAGAAACAGATTTTCTCAACTGTTTTAAGTTCCTCTGATACAAGAGCTTGACTATTTACTTTTTCCGAGCACTTACAACTGCTCCCGTATTTCCTGTTCGAGGATGAAATCACCTCATCGCAGACACTCGCACCCACGCCAGAACAAGGGTGCCAGAACATTAATGGAAAACCCCAACACATCAGACATTGTACAGGCATCCAAAAATGCTTGTGCTGGCAGATACGTGAACTGCAGCAACAGAGGAGGGACCTAAGATCCACAGCAATTAATGCCAAAAGCATCAACCCCAAATCTCCTCATCCACCCAGAAATGGGCAGGTCCATTCCTTCTTTAAAGCTAGCATCCCTTCAATAACACAAACATCTTTCCTGATTCTTTAGCTACTAGGGATAAATAAGCATAAATAAACCAGTGTGCCCTTACTCACAGGCAATGGGAAAAGACAAAATGCCTTTTCACAAAGGCAAATGATGACAACCTCCATTCAAGGGGAGCTCTACACACACAGCCAAAGCAAGGATTTATAAATCACATTATTTTCTTCTGAAGATCACCCCTTTCCAGGCTGCCACATTAACATTCCTGTCCAGCAAAAGAAATTCATCTGCTCCCACTCCATCCTCACTTCCCTTTTCCTGCGTCGCTTCATTAGTACTAACCTCCTTACACTGCGTCTCTTCTTCCCCAAGGACTTTGGGACAAGGAGCCAAAAGCCAGACACAAAAGTATCACGGCAAGGAAACAGCTCTGACTTGACTTTGGATTTGCTTCTTTAGAGAGTTAGCCCAGAGAATTCCCGTGACTATTTAAGCAGGATAATGTCCCCAAACTGAGGGCTATCACTGCAGTTCCCCAAGTATGGAGAATATTCACCCCACTACTGCCATCAGATGTCTGATCAAGAATGTTTTAAGATTCAAAATATTTTCTTGTGATAAAGGGTTGGTTTTTTTTTCTTATTCATTTGTAGGTTATTAATCAACAAATTACAAGATATTGCTGGGGAAAATAATGCATCGATATTACAGCTAACACAACATGTGGATAAACAGTTTGTATTTACTAAAAAAATATGAAAATACAGAATATAAGCAGTTAAAGTGTAGCCCTTTAACATAGTACTATAGCAGGGACCATCACCACAAAAATGGTCTGGAATAGATATAATCACTGCATTATCCCTTGAACATATTTTCATAAATAAAATTCAGATATTCTCTTTTTTCTTTGATTATGTTACCAACAAGTGTGACGTGAACTTTGCATCTGAAATTCTAGTTTAAGGATAAAGCTTTTCTTCAAATTCACCTCTTTTTTTAGGTGAGGGGCCATCAATTACCAAACATACAAAAAACTTGGTTATCAGTAATTTCTTGTTTTCTTACCTATGAGCTCTAGGTAATTTGGCTATTTTTATGCTTTAAGCATCATCAGTTAAGCCAGAAACTTAAAAATGACTTTGTTTAAAGTAATAAAAAGTTATTACAGCTTTATTCTAGAGTAAGGATTTCTGGTATTAAGGGTAAAAAAGCACTTTAATTGAAATCCTGATGCTTGCACATTGCCTTTTTATTAAAGAAAAAAATAAAAAAGAAAAACTTGTCCTATGGCTCCCTTCCCTGCTCTAGCTGCAAAGTCCACTTAGTGCTATTTTATTGATTTATTAAGTGAAACCTACGTTGGAGCTATCAAGCTCTGGGAAAGGGGAGCCTTCGGGTTTTGTTTTCTAATCCATTCAAAAGGACTCTGTAATTAGACTCTTTACCCACGAAACCTACACAATTTGGCATTGGTAACATTTACAGTTCTGTAGTGTACTGCAACAGTTAGAAATACTTTAAGAAAACCCTCCAAATACTGAGATGCTTATTGCAATTCCCTTCCAAAGATTCCAAAATCTTCTAGTGACTTTCCATATCGTATTTTTGTCTCCTTTACAACACTTGGTATAATCTATGCATTCCACATTAAAACCAAACTGGAAGATACCACTTAGAAACAATATTTCAGTAAATAGAGGGTTTAAGGCAAGTCATTCATCTGGAAAAACACATTTTCCATTTGTTAATCCTAGACTGACACAATTTTTTCCCCACTCCATCAGTGCCTTGGGATACACAACGTACATTCAGCAAAGGGCACACATAGGACCCTATGGACATACGTTGCAAGTCCTGAGCGCCCATTGAAATAATGGTAAGATCTTCAGATAAGGCGTGACCCACAGGGACATGGCATGGGAGGGGTTAATTTGCTCTGTTTCCAGTCTTGCTATTGTATGTGATTTTCCTAGGTAATGCATCCTTTTCTTACTAAATATCTTTGCAAACAAATACAAACCCCTTTAAAAGGTGCTAAAAATGGGTTTCTGAAAACATACAAAATATATTCATCATAGTATTTCTCAATCACTGTTTTAGTGCTTGATATCTGCAGGTGATTTCTTGTTTCTGATTGAAACTATTATTTGTTGTGGAATAACTGTTCTTTTGCAAAACATCTTCTTCTTCTAGTGTTTTGGACCGCACAGGCTGGATGTTTTCATGCTTTTTATTTCCTTTTTGAGTTCTTTTCAATGGAAATATCAACACCACCAGAATGCTGGCAATATGAAGACAGAAATAACAGGAGCTAAAACACAAACAAGAAAAATAATTCAATAAAAGTGACCGCTCTTGCAGGATGCTTAAATAAATTGTCAAAAAACCACGTGCATTTGACAGATTATATGTAGGAAATTTACATCAATAAAACATTAACGTTTCTTTTAAAATAATAATGGGAAACAAAAGGAAATAAAATCTTGCCTCATGGTATTTAGTGCTCTAACAAAGCAAATAATGTTTCTCTAGTATCAGGACCAGAGGCAAGTGAAGAGAAACCTTCTTTGAACTATTTAGTTTTTAATGACATCCTAAAAGTAACTCATTATCTTGTCTTATAAAATAGGTCAGAGGTTGAGAGTAATCTCAAATGTTACACACACCCCCACCCTTTTTCCCTTCATAAACGATATAAGCCTATTACAGGAGGAAAAAAGTGCTTTGGTTTGTGAAACACAACACAAGCTGTGCTCAGGTGTTGGAATAGAAAGACAGGTTAGTCAACTAAAATATTGTTACAGTCACAAATCTTTTGCAACAAAATACATTTAAATTTAAAATTAAATTTAAAGAAGCTAAATAAAATTTAAATTAAGATTAAATTAGGTTTTTAAATTAAAGAAACTATCAAGGACAACAGGTAAAAGGTGCTTACCTGTAAAAGGTGAAAGAGGGTTTTACAGAGAGCAGTACAAATGGCACAACTGTGTAACTTATTGCTACTTGAGTTGCCATCCACGTTACAATATCATAACATAGTTTGACTGTAGGAGATTCAACAAAGTAGTGTCTGATATTGTTTCTTATCTAGAAGAGAGCAGGTAAGACAAAGTTAGAGGTTACAGGTTTGGACGAGTACCTTTAATCCACTCCAAACTAAACTGACATCATTAACAACCAGCTCCTATTTCCTGCCTCTAGAATATGATGCTTGATCCTGCACGGGAGTTGAAGGAAATGACTGTGCAGAAACCCATTCCCACAGTGGGCACTTCCCCTGTAAACCCACTGCCACTCCAGACTTCTTGTCTGAATGTAGCAGCCATCACTTCCACCAAACAATTACTTGGCTAATATATATATGTTTGTAGTAAAGGAAAACTAAAATGCTCCTGCTGAAAGCTTCTATATGCTAAGCCATTTTCATATACTTGCTAAAAGAGACACATTTTAGAACAAGTAGGATATAAAATCATAATATTTAATGGCCCTCACTTAAGTGATAACTATCTTTGTATCCAGTTGCCTGCACTCCCAGCATTTGTCCTCTTGTGTTTTCTCCTTCCTATTTCTAAGGCTGGAAACACATGAAGGTTTTCAAAACACCCAGCTACTTCAGTAGTATTTGAATATGGCCAAACCCGAAGGTCGCTATTCACAATTAGTTTTATTAATTTCACATAACTCATTTTACTAGTTGGAATTTGTTGACAATGATATTTTTTGATATTCAAAAAGTGCATCTTTTATCAACTTTGGAAGAAGGTTACTCATAATATCAATTTCTCTACCATTCAGATCAATCCTCTAACGAACCTGCAAAACACGCATTTCCCTCACTTCTTCCGAGTACAGCCACAATTACCTACTCCACAGTCTCCCTCTTTTCTGCAAAAAAAATTTGTAGACTTAACTGAGAGTTGATACAGAAACTCAATTCCAAAGTGAAGGGCATGAATTTAGTGAACAATTAGCCCATGAGAACCTGCACTTTCAAATATCCCCTATAAACAAACGTTTTTGGTTCTCTTTCCTCCTGAGCTGCCCACCTCTATCTTACTCAGCTGTCTTGAACAGTATTATAGGAGTTTTGACAAATTTACTTGGCCCACATACTTCTGAAGAGCAGCTGCAACGTTTTGCTAATATGACTACACTAGTACTTGGCCAGAGATGATTTCTCTGCTGGTTGAGGTAGAAAAATTTTTAGCTGGCATTTTCTGAACAGAACTGGATAGAAACTAGGGATGGGGGAAGAGGGGGGAACACTCTATATATAATATGAACCTTCACATTTACAATTCCCAGTCATCAGAAATACCTCCTCAAAATAACCTTAGATGACATCACCCCATAATAGCTGATGAGTTAAAAGATGGGAAGAGCTTCCCTAAGAGATGGGTACCAAAAAGATGCTGCAGCCTGTGCAGTCTTGCTTGTTTCTGCTGATTAGCCCTCCTTATCATTAATCATTCCTACTGCTCTCGTAACTGAAAAACTGAATGACAGTATCAGGGACTGTGTGTCAACTGTAAAACAGCTGTGATCAATTTTCATTAAAAAAATGCTTATTTAAGAAACTCTTCTGATACTTACAGCTCGTGCTGCTAGTGTCATTAATATTCCTGTTAAAAATGTTATATAATATCCGGGGTACACCCCATGCCAGATGGCAGAAAGGATGAAGGTTTGGATGGTTGGGCTGAAGGTGGCTCGCTCATAGCAGACTCTAGCAAGTCAAAGAAAATTCCATAAAAATTAACATGAAAGATACATTATCAACATCTTAGCCATATACCATTTATATATTTACATTCCTGGCATCCGTTACCCGTAACATACCACATCAATGCAATTATAGTAAACTCTATTACTACCACCAACACAACTCCAAGAAAAAGAGAAACAAAAACCCTCTAAGTTTCTTACAACTTCAGATTTAACTTTCAGTGCAAACCCATGTTCAGTGTCATCGTTTATGGTGTTTTCTTATAATGAAATAATATCAAAACATTTAAAGATAGGTGTTGGTGCTAATACAGAATCTCAAACCATCCAAGAGCGTCTTCAAAAAGCAACACTGGAAGGCACAGGCTATGCAGCAAACTCTTGCAACAAGTCAGATATTTATTTCATAAAATGAAAGCAATGTATGGGAAGAGGGAAAGAGTTACAACTGCCTTCAAACTCTAATTCCTTAATAGAGAGTCTGTCGTTTAAAATGTGTTCATGTAGGACAACTGGGTGAACATGACGACAATGAAATGATAGTTAATGGCTCTTGGGATGCGAACATAAATCAGGAAAACACTGAAATCTGCTCTTTAACAACTGAGAATCCAAAACAATGGGTAAGGTCCTAAAGGAGTTCTAGAAGGAAGACAGGGAAAAGGAGTTCAAGAAAGGTGGTAGCTTTCTAAAAGACAACATTAAATGACACAATGACAAACCATCATGATGTGGAAGAATGATAGGAAGCATGGTAAGGTCCTGATATGGCTTCATCAAGAGTTCTTTAATAATCTGAAAACCAAAAAGCAGTAGAAAATATGGAAACAGATGCATGTGAAAGTAAAAATAAACAGCCAGAACATGCACATGAATATGACTCTAAGGCTAATCCACAAAAAGACTTCTAGCAGAGGTCACAGACATCAATATACAAACTGCTACGTGTTCATAACTAGTAACAGGAAGACAGAGAAGAAATCAGGCCCACTGTTCCAAGAGGAAGACAAGCTAATGAAAGAGAGAGCTGAATATTCAGTATTGACTTGACTACAACTTCCACATATGCAAAAGATGGTTGAGACCAAGTGACCTGGCAAATGTTGAAGAGCAGAAGGTCAAGGCAGGATCTGATTAGGAAAAGAACAAAAGGAAAGTGTATCCTGCTAAATTGGTTGTGTTCCAGTCAGGAATGTGCCCAGTTTTCAGAGCTCTGCACTGCAGGGCCCCCGCGGGCTCTGGCCACACAGCCTGGCTGCCACCACACACTGAGCTGGGGATCTGTGCCCAGGCAGGGCCAGCGAGGCCACGTGTTCAACCTCCCGAACTGGCAAAGCTCGTTAGCCCCCAAACGAGAGGCTAACGAGCTTTATGAGTTTATGAGAGGCTAATGAGAGGGGGCCGAGGAGGGGACCCCCTCCAGGAAGCCGTGGGTGCTCCGGGCCCGCGTGTCCTCAGGCAGTGCTCTGGGTGCACATGGACCCGCGTGCACTCCCTGCTCAAGCCTCTCAGGAATCCACATAGGAGCGAGCTTAAAACGGGGGGTATCGGACCTCAAGAGTAGCCATTTAAAAATGGTTCTTGCTGCAGTATTGATATGAAGCCTGAATTTATAGTTAATGGCAATCAGTGAACTAAGTCTCATTAATAACACAGTAAATCAGTCAAGTCCCGATTTGTTGGTTTTTTCCCCGCCTTGAAAAGGGTTCAGGAATATATAAAACTAACTAAAATTTCTGTTGTATCAAGCCACATTAGAGAACAAGATATATAACAGGATAGGAAAACAAAAATGCCAAAGAGCTAGAAGCAAATTTTTAAAAACCTCCATGAATTTATCAATGATAAGTCCTGCTGAAACACTTCCTTGATAGACCTAAAAGCAAGCAAATATGGTCATCACAACAGGCTGAGAAGTTCTATCCAAACACATCTTATCCATGATTTACAAGTGGGAAGATCCAACTTCCCGTCCTAGCTTGGATGGTAGACTTAAAAGTGCAGAGCCCTCCTGCTTTCCTCCCTTCCCACCTTCCTTGAGATGGGTGGGCTTTTTTCCTAGGCAGATCCAGGATTGGAAGTCAAAGGAATCTTAAAAGATTGAATGATGTTCCCAAACCAACAAGATGGAATGAAGCCCAAAGCCTAGGACACAGAGGAAGTAACCTCAAGTTGAAGATGCAATGCAATGTATGCCATGTTACTGAAAAAGTGAATCCCACCACAGACTAAAAACTGATCATCAGCTGAATCACCAATAGACCGCTGGGCAAAAAGGCACATGTATTATTGTGAGGTATTACCCTTTTTATTTATTTTTTTTTAAAAGGTAATTCATCTGGTCAAGTCATATAGTCAGGCTGCAACAAGCCAGGAGGAGCTGGAGATCTTGGGAGAAGTTCCCTACATCCATGGGTCAAAGATGAGAAACCAGGAAGAACAAGAGCTATGGAGGTCTGGCCAATATAACCACAGACAAATGGAATTAGTTGCCTGATGGGCAGTAGATGTTTGGAAAAAAGGAATGAACAGGCTGACAGGGGAACAGAACAGCTTTTCAATTAGGAAATGTTATCATCCTTTTTATATCCATATATATAAAATTCAAAATTATATGTAGAGTGTATATATAGAATTATATAGTTGAAGCATGCAACTGTGTAATTACCTATTTTAACTATTTACAGTAATCCCTTTGAACTGCTATTTCTGTCACCAATATTGATTTTTTATTAAATTTCTTTAAGATCTATAGCTCAGTTAGCTCCTGAAGAGCTGTTGTCAACTCTAGCTTTTTATCCCCAGTCAGATTTTGTGATTTGGATGGCTCCTTTTTTCAAGATAAAAAGGGAAGAAATAATATTTTGTATGCCTCGCATTTCCATATTTCTGATTAGAAATAATTAAGATTTTAGGTAATTGTACAAATGATATACAAGAGAAGTATTAAAAGTGATGGTATAAAGTAAAACCTGAGCTTGTACTGCTTGAATTACTGCAGCAAACAAACTCATCACGTGACTGATAAGATACACTCTATGGAAGGGTCTCATATATAATAATGAAAAGTCATCTTTTACTCACAGTGAAACTTTAAGAACCACCCTTCTCCCTTACACTGTGGGGGAATAAAGATGCATATAGATTATCCTCACAAGATTGTTCTTCCTACTCCTAAAAATACTCATTAAAGATGTTTTTTTCCTAATTTATCTTAGAATCATCTTTTTGGTCACCACACAAGCGATTGATTTGTATTTTTCTTTCACTTCAACGGAGAAAGTTTTCTTCCAGTTCAGCATTTCGGTAACTTCCCTTCCCATTAAACGTTTTCTTTTCAAATTGCCTAAACTAAATGATTCTAAAATTCATTGAAATTTGACCTTTCTCTATTGTTTCAATACTGATAAATCTCTTTTCTTGTTCTGAATGAAAAATAGTTTTTAAATTGCTGCTTTACTAAGTGATACATTTGAAGGTCTCTGAGCATATAATTCTTTCTTGCTTACTCTCCTAGCAAGGGATTTTATTGTTTACTGAACCCAACTAATCACAAAATACAATTTACTAATGACAAAAATTATTTTTTTCCACACCAAAAAATATTATTTAAAAACCAGAAGCTTTCATAAGCAAAGAGCACACACTCTGTAAAGACACTTGATGGGGGAAACATCCTGTTCCCAACCATCCTAAGTCCTCTGAGCTGTTCCAAGATGGCTTTTAAGCCCAACTCACAGCTTTTGGTAGAAGAGCAGCTATTTAGAGACTGGGAAAAGGGAAATAACACCTGCGGATCTGCTATGCTCCAGAAAATTTTGAGGTTTTTTTTTTTGCCACAGTGAAGTGGTAAGAGCAGAAAGATCCACTTCACAGGGCACTATGTCTGTTCTCCAGACAAGGGGGGAAAAAAATACATCCAAGGAACATGTCAATCAAGCTGGAAAATTATTGTGTGATAGCACAGGATTCAGCAGAAAAAAAAAATCAAAATATATTAGACAAACTCTTCTCAGTGGTGGCCAGTGACAGGACAAGGGGTAATGGATACAAGCTGCAACACAGGAAGCTCCATCTCCATGTGAGGAAGAACTTCTTCACTGTGAGGGTGCCAGAGCCCTGGAACAGGCTGCCCAGGGGGTTTGTGGAGTCTCCTTCTCTGGAGATCTTCCAAACCCGCCTGGATGTCGCCCTGTGCCCCGTGCTCTGGGTGTCCCTGCTGGAGCAGGGGGTTGGACTAGATGATCTCTAGGGGTCCCTTCCAACCTCAGAGGAAGTTTTTGCACGGCGCTCTCAGCAACATGGGCTGCTTGAAGAGTGAAGACTGGGGCAGAGGAGGGAGGCAACAGACTCCTCAGAGGCGGCTTCTGACCAGTGGTAGAGAGAGTTTCTATCATTACCTGATAGTTTACACTGAAAGCTAAGTGCTAGATTCAGGTGACTAAGTATTACACAAGAATAAGAACGTCCCATGGAATTGGCCGCACAACCACACCATTCCCAGGATTTTAGCTTCAAATGTTAAATTATCCTCATAGACATATTTACCTAAAACTTCAGCACAGAAAAAGTTTTCCTTGAAGAAATAAATACCTTTTAAGCCAAAGAGCTGTTTGAATATTCCAGTTATCAAGAAACATCTTGAAACTTGTGGAAAACTGTAAAATGAAAACAAATAATTTCCGTGACTATAACATGTTATTTAGTATTGCAGAGCTCTGAAATACAAATTTTAAGAACTTTGTGATGCACAAGGAAGCCAGGAATTTACTTAGCCGTTTATACACATAAAAGCTTTTGAAAGTTGATCAACAAGTCAGACATACCCAAAACGACTTCATTTTCCATCCTTTCCCAAGTGTAGAGACACTTCTGCTTAATGACATATTCAGTATCTTGAGAAACAAACTGCACGGGAGCAGCTAATGACACTACGAGCAAATACCTCCACGTGCACGTATCTTATCCGAGAGTGCCACGAACAAACCTCTATTTGCTGGATTCTCAGGTTTGATACTAGGTCCCAACGGGTTGCTCCACTTTTATCGTAACCTCTAAAGCCAAACCCTGCGGCATTATTGATTGCATCTGCTGCAATGAAATAAAAAGCACAAATTCATTAGAAAACAGCCTGTATCACAACTATGCATACCACATAAACATTATGAACAAATTATGTATTATCACATCTTGGAAGCTGCCTTTTTTTTTTTTTTTTTTCTCCAATGGAGGATCACTGTATTGGACACTTGAACAAACAGGAAGCAATCCAAGCAACATGCTAGTTTTCAGTTAAACACAAGTCTTATACAAAAGCAGAGAAATTTAAAATAACAGTATTTCACAGAGGTATCTGCTTCCTCTCATACAGCCTACTTGGTTTTACTTCATGCTGTGCTTCAGATGGGCCTACTTGAGCAACTGCACAGAACAACAACTCAAGGAGATGCACTAAGGCTGCAAAGTGCTTAACTACATATTGGTTATATGTACCTCAAGGTAGCAGCTCCACATTCAGATATTCATTAAACTGGTATGGTTTTGGTTATTTTTAAAGCATAAAACTACTATCCCATGAGGCACTTCAGACAGGTGCACGTTAATAGCACCACATACGGATCAGTAAAAAACTAACAGGAAAACAATAATTTTGTCAGCACTAAGTTAGGCCAACTTCAAAAACAGGCCGCCCAAACGTCCACTGGTGGCCCAAGACTCTTGCAAGTGGCACTTCCAAGCCCAAGGTGTTCAGCAACTATCACAGCTCAGATAGTCCTACAGCAAGAACCTCTCCCACTTTGAGAAAAGGGACTTAGACTACATAGGAAGGAAACATTGCCCTGAATAGCACCTATGAATCTCAGCAATTGCCTTCAGCTTTGTCAGCCCAGAGGCTAAAGCTTCCTCAAAGCTCTCCAATTTGGACTGCCCGGAATGGGAGTTCCTCCCCAAAGCGGTGCCTCTGCTGAGCCAGGCTTGGGGGTGCAGGCATCCAAAGACCAACAGCACGGGGCAAAGGGGGTGTATGAATGACCACGTGCAGGACAGCACGTGGGAATGGGATTGGGATTCCCAAAGGACTGGGAAGTGAGGCAGTCAAAAGGCTCTGAAGCAGCAACACAGACCGAGCCATGGAATCATTAGGGTTGGAAAAGACCTTGAAGATTGAGTCCAACCACAAGCCCCTCAGGGCCATCCCTGTTAAACCACATCCCTGCGTGCCTCATCCACAGAATCACTGTGGCAATGAGTCCTCTAGTCACAGGGCAATAACTCTCACTGCTAGCTCACAATTCACCTAGAACACCATAATTCTAACTTACATACCACATAACTACTACTAAATTACAACTAGCCCCCCTTCTAACATTTGCTCATGAGTTTACTTTACACAACAATGACCTGCAATGAAATTCTCTCTTCTCAACCACCTGAGAGAAGGCACTAGAGTCCAGTGTATTCGGAATGCAGGAGAAACGAGTTTTCCCTTCTTTTCCAAATACTGATTTTGAAACTTATGTCCACCCTAACAGGCAATTACCTCCCGTTCAGGTTCTCCTAATAGAGATGAGGAGAATTTGCAGCAGAATTTCTACTGGTCTGCAGGCAAACTTTCTGACAAGTGATTTAACATAGCATAGTTTCTAACATTTTGATCTCCTCTCAACAAAAACTTATGTCATTTTAAAAGCAACACAATTTGCTATTGTATGTTTGAGATCCCGTACGTCAACCTCAAACATTAGCTTAGGTTTTACGTTCAATTAGAAACAGCTGAAGACTTGAAAACACTACTAAGGAGAAAAGACAGCACAGCTAGAGTAAGTACTTGTTTTATTATCATTTTTGTAAGTGTTCAGTTAGTAATTCATTCTATTAACAGAATTACTTTCAAGTGTAAAGAATAACAAAGTACAACTCAAAAGCATAACACTTGGTAAGAACTTAAGGTCACTGCACATTGTATTCACACCCTTAAAGTTACTATAAGGTAGAGTGGAGGGAGGAAGACCAAAACAAAGTACTTAAACTGAAACACAGAGCTTCAGTTTCAGAGCAGAGCAGTTGATGTTCTTCAGTATTTTGCTAAATAAACACTATAAGCATGTACAAAAAGCTATCTGAAGAGTGACAGAATTACCTGAACGTTATTATTATTATTTTAGCCAACTCCTTCTCTTAACAGGAGATGACAGTGGTGCAGAAGAGGCCAATATTCAAACTTATTTTTCTGTAACATGCCCAGAGTTGCTATGCTCAGAGAAGCTGAAAGCCCTTCATTCACTGCCCAGCAAATGAAACCAGCAGCTGTTGGTGAGTCACGCTGCCCTGATACACTGAGGTCCTTTATTGTGTTGCTTCCCACAGATTCTCTCAAACCAAAGAATTATGAAGCAGATACGTAAAACTGGAGGGCAGGAAAACCGATGAAATCTGTTTGCAGAGGCATTCTCAAAATCTTAACTTAGAAAAATAGAACATTTTGGAGTGTGTGGGATTTTTTTTCCCCTAACAGCATAATGTGGAAGGTAAAACATTGCTTAAATTATAATTAAAACTGTTAAAGGAGTATAAATGAAGTGTCATCCATCAAGGTCTAGGAATCCTTCTGCAAATGCCAACCACTATTAACAAACACTATCATGTATCTGTACAGTATTATACTCACTTTCCCTTTATGCTTGGATATCATCAAGCAAATCATTGATAATTAACCACAGAGAAAAATCTGGAATAGCTTTCACACAGGCTTAAACTGAGTCACCAAAACCAGTAATAAATCAACTACATTAGCTGTAGTTCTCAATTCTTAAACAAGGGAAAAAAAGACATTGCTCATTGAAACACGGCCTTCCTTCCAAGAGCCCCATATTTCACTGAGGTTTGATCAGTAGCCCCTGATCACATTTGCAGCACTGTTGCAAGACTCTGCTTAGCTTTTAAGTTTTGAATTTATAAATTCTATTGTTTTGAAAAAATAAACAACGAAACAACCCCCCCCACCCCTGAAACAAGTGTACTGGGACAGCACCTCATGCTACTTAAAAATCATATTGCAGCCTTAAGGCCTCAAGAGGGCACTGTCACGTCAGCACATCCTCGATGCCCAGCATCTCAAATGAAGAAACAACACATAGACTTTTTTGTTGCTTACCTAACGTCCATGCAAAATAATATTTGGGTCTGGCAGCCATAAGAGACAAATATAGGTAGAAAACCCTTACAGGCCATGACGCTGTAGCTCGGAAGTTATCGTCAATGTTGTATTCCACAGGCAAAGTTTTTGTAATGGTCATGTGAAATAATAAGGACAGTCCACAGATTAAGAGTTTCTGTGCCACAGCTATCTGAAAAGTTTAAGAGAGGAGACCTCGTAAGCGTCAGTTTTATTCATCTTCTGGAAACAAAGCCAAGTTACAACCTTCTTTCCTACACAGACGTGTATATATGTATATGTATATATGTGTGTATGTATATATATATTTGTGTCAATTTTCCAGAAAGAGATACTCTCAACTCAAAAAATAGTTGATAACATTTTACAGACGCTCAAGAAAGAGCCTTGATAAGGCAACAAGCACCACGTCACTTGTGGGAATGCCACAAATCAAACCCAGCTACAGCCTCAGCCCCTGAAGAAAACCCTTCCACGCTGCACACGCTGCTCACAGCTCCGCTCTTGCAGTTCATTGTAAAAAGATCTAAGCGAGCAGAGAGTTAAAGACACCAAGTACCTAAGGTAGAGCAGGACAACTGAGGCAAGTGCTGCAGAGATTCCCAAGTCACTGCAAAGGTTTAGTTCAGTCACCTTTGGCACGATCCATGGATTCGGTTGCTGCCTAACTAAATGCAGCCACGTCTGCTAAATGTTTTGGTATTCAAGACTTCAAAATACTCAAACAACTTAAGGATTTGAGGATTTTTAACTTAAGGATTTTTAAGGAAAAAAAGAAAGAAAAATTATGGAGCTCTGTTTTCCAGCCAAAAGGGTTAAAATTGTAAGGGGCCAAAGAACATGCCCACATATATGTAAAAATGTGCTGTTCAGCTAGCGTTGGGGCTCAAGGCTTCCTAAAAATTTAGTGTTGCTGTAACCAGCACTGAGGAGTAGGTTAAATTTAGCAAGACATTTCCAAGGTCCCATTATAAAGAGCACAAAGCAGCAACACGTGGCATTTGCTGCTGTAAGCAGCCTAGTCCGATGCATATTCCACAGGCAGATCATCACGTGCTGTTTCAGCTACACGTCAGGTTTGAGAGCACAGGTCACTTAAACCTGCAGGTTCTGATGGTAAATGATCTCAAAAATGAGATTAGAGGAAAGCAAAGACATGACAAATATTGGGGGTAACTGGCAGCTCTGGCTATTGCAAACATTCACAGTGATCATGTCGCCAGCTATTCGGGGGACTAGAAACACCAGCTAATTAAACTGGCTGACTAATGCAGGAGGCAGCTCCCTACCGGCAGCGAAGGCCGGTTCCTATTCGTTCCTACTTGCTTTCTAATGACTCTCGTTTTCATGTTTTGCTCTGTCACAGGACTTCAAGGTGAAGGTCACGGACTTTTTGGAAGTGTTTTCTGTTTTTCTGGTAACTGCTGATCCAGCCCTGTCTCTACCAGGGCAGAAGGAGAGCTGGGCTGGCATTAACCTGCTCTTTTGGGGAATGTGAGTAGCACATGCAGCACAGAAATTCAGCTGCTAATGCTAACGAGGCTTTAAGTCTGGTATGCAAATACCCAACACAGGCAAAACTTGCATATTGGTAAATACCAAAAGACATCACCAAGTTCCAAGGATAGCAGCAAGGATTTCACTTCAAAATCTCAAGCACAAAAGTCACAATCTGGCATGAAGAACAGTATTTACAAGCTTGTAAATACTAACATGCTAATTTTAAATGTTTATGCTGATACTTCAAGTGCTTTTGATCTGAAGTTGTCTACAAAGTCTGAAAATATTGTGTAATTTTATCATTGTTTAAAGGGCCCTTCTTCCACAGGCCACTGTTTTCCAGTTCTTTTATATATTACCATTAAATCAGCCAATTCTACCCAATTTACATTTACTATCTCTCTGACAAGTTTTAACCAAGTTGTAGAGGTGAAAGCTCTTCTCAAAAAAAGAAAAAAAAAAGAAAAAAAACCCCTAAAACCCACAGATTACAGTTTCAGTAACATGAAATTCAGTTCCTCAGTTCCCCTTAAGTTGAACTTTTAAAAAGACAAAGAAAACTCCTTGAAGTTTTCATCTGTGAGTTGTAGCTGGATATTTCTTTATATATATGAAATTTTCAAATGAGGTAGTCCTACATTTTTAGCAGTAACACTTAAGTATAGCACAAGCCTAATAACATACAGTAAGAACATGTCTGTCTCAGCGTCACTTTTTTTCTTTTGTTTTTTTTTCTATTTTTTAATACTACAATTTCACTGCATGACTGTAAATCCTAGACAAGTACACTCAGACCACTCAGAAGGACCAGTATTAGGTAAATTAACGTCCTTAGCAAACAAGAGACCACCTTGAGACTGTCCCCAAGGCCCCTGAGAAACTCCGAAGCTGCAGGTTCACAGCTGGCTTGTGCAGCAGTTTCCGAAGGATGATCTAAACACAGGCTGCAACGTAAAGAACCTGCCCTGCCTTCTCTCCTCACCATGGCTGTAAATGTTGCCCTTTTTTCCTCTAGTGAGCCTGACTAAACAGCGAGTTTTTCACCTCATTTGCTTCCCTAATTTAGGCAGTTTCTTTGTTTCCAGTGCTTTCTTGTTCTGTTTTGCTTCTGTGTTCTGAATGAGCTGCTTTTTGGCTCCAGCCATCTGAACTGGATCACCACGCAATTAAATGTTAATGCTTTAACGTTAAGTAAATATTAATAACATTGTTAATACAATACTAATACTACTATGCTAAACAAAAAACCCCAGATCCTGTACCCACAACTGACATATTTGACATGAGTTTATACTTAGCTCACCCTAAATAGGGTTTTAAGCTACAGTCTGAGGTTTGTTAATAGCACTTAAGGTGTGAATAGATTCACTGATTTATTATTTCTGAATGGAAAGAATAATCCTCATCTGGAACTATAAAAATGTACAGATGAACTACCTACAGCAGTCCATTCATTTAGTTGACTAGGTTATTGATACAGGCTTCTCTGCCAAAGCTTAAATAGGTAGCCACTGGATTTACATTCACAGAAAGATTTTTTGTTTTTTAAAAAACTACTAAAAGTTTTAATTCACTCTTTAAAGTTTAATTTAATAGTGTGAAATATTAACATGTTTATGATAGAATAACTCAAAAACATGTTTTGCCAAAAGAAACTCTTCTCTGAATGAATTAAGAGCGTTAGCTGCAGGGTATCTTTAACCACATATGTAGTAGGGGGTACATGGAAGACAAAGGAAAAAGAGGAAAGAAAAAACACAGTATAAGGAACTTCTGGTGTTCAAACTCCTACACTGATTGAGCAGCAGACAGTTAATTTTACAAAGAAAAGGTAAAGAGGTCTGGCTCATTTAGCTTTGATGAACAAAAGCTGCGTGTTCCTGGATAAAAATATCAAACATGGTTAACACTGGGAAGGGAAAGAGGTCCTAAGTTAAAAGGCAGTGCCAGAGCAAGAACAAATGTGCATAAATTAGAAGTGCATATAATTAGCTGGAAAGCCAGATCGCTAATTGGAACAGGGAGTTGGTGAACAGCTCGCTAAGAGGCAGGATAAAAACGTAACAAAAACAGAAGTGAAAAGCCACAAACCACAACACAAACACTCCATCAAGCTCAGGGATTATACGAGTCTATTTCTGCATAAACATGTGCAAAGCATATAAATATACATTAATAAGTAGATACAGATCTTTTGAACTTATTTGAATGAGTTTGCTTTTCTCTTGGCTGGTAAGCAATCAATAGAGATCAGCATAATACTGAACTACCTTGAAACATTATTTTGGGGAGGATGACACCTCCCATCGCTGGTAATTAAGCAAGAGCTTCAAGTTGCCTCAAAGTTTGCCTAAGAGACAAAACCCGGGTACCAGTCCTGCTGACATGACTCTGGCATCTTCAGATTTCTCTTTATTCTGGCTACTTTTAAGATAGATATTAACTTTTGAGAGTTGACACTACTTTGAGCACCAACAATTGTCTGCTTGTAGAAAGGCACAATAGGAGGGGTTTAGTAAGATAGTGAGTTTAAGTGAGGAAGTGAGTTTAAATCTTGGCTTGATACATTCAACATGCAATCAAAGGAGCAAAATACTAAAAGCAAGTTAATATCATGCAGTTAACACTATAGAAAAGGAAGCTGGCATGAACTTCAGTTATATAAATGATATTTAACAAGACATGAATGTTATTGTAAACTTAGCTTTGGGTTTCTTTTTATTTAGTATATTAACACTTGCTGATCCCCATTACATTTCTGATCAACTTCCCTAACAAATTCTTCTTCTTGAAATGGTAATAATCTAGGAACATATTTAACATGTTTTAATGTGAAGTTAATGGCACTTAAATATTATTCTAGAATCAAACTGTGAATATTTTAATTAATGAAACAAATGCAGTAAAAAACAACAACAAAAAAAACCAAGTACTTCTCCAAAAGTACATAATATTCTCTGAAATTATTAAACAGTCATTTGTCTCTTGCACCAGCTAAAAATGAAAGTATCAATACCATAGATATGGTAGTTGGTATAGATATGGGATTGATATGGTATCTATGGTATAGACATGGTATTGGTGGCTTTTTAATTTCATGTCAGAAGTTAATGTAGCATAAATTGAGGAGAAGGGCGGCATTTATGAACAATTCAGTTCAAGGAAAATTGTTTACCTGAAGAAAAAAAGCGTCTTTCATGAATTTGTATCTATTGACTTTGCTCAGATTGATACCTAGATTGCATGGTCAAGCTAAACAGTCTTACCAGATACCAGCAAATTCATTTGGTTCCCTTTTATTAACAAATATTTTATTACACAGTGCTTTTCTCCAGACCAAGATCTTTAACATGCAGTATGTGATTCTTGTGCTGAGCCACCAGGATCTTTACAACCAGGAGAAGTGTCTGCTCCTTTGCCACCACAGCGCATGAGTGCACGGCCAGGCCTCAGGAGCCACCCAGACACAGAATCATAGAATCACAGAATGCTTAAGGTTGGAAGGGACCTCAGAGGTCATCTAGTCCAACCCCTCCCTGCTCATGCAGGGTCACCTAGAGTACGGGGCACAGGGCGGCATCCAGGTGGGTTTGGAAGATCTCCAGAGAAGGAGACTCCACAGCCTCTCTGGGCAGCCTGTTCCAGGGCTCTGGCACCCTCACAGACAAGAAATGGTTCCTGAAGTTCCTGTGGAACTTTTGATGCCTCAGCTTGTGGCTATTTCCTCTAGTCCTATCCCTGCCCACCACTGAAAAGAGGCCGGCCCCTCCTCCTCACTGCCTCCCTTGAGGTATTTATACACGCTGATCAGGTCCCCCCTCAGCCAGTCCAACCCCATATCCTTCTCCTGCAGACAAATTCCCCCATTAGCAGCATGTCACTGCAAGAAAGCAAACTCTTCAAGGCCACAGACAAAAGGGGTGTCTATAATGGAAACTCCATGCACCGAGTAGGCACAGGGAGTCNTCCCTTGAGGTATTTATACACGCTGATCAGGTCCCCCCTCAGCCTCCTCTTCTCCAGGCTGAACAGACCCAGCTCCCTCAGCCTTTGCTCATAGGGCAGATGTTCCAGGCCCCTGATCATCCTCGTAGCCCTGCGCTGGACTCTCTCCAGCAGCTCCACATCCCTCTTGTACTGGGGAGCCCAGAACTGGACACAGTCTCCAGATGTGGCCTCACCAGAGCTGTGCATGGGGGACGATCCCCTCCCTCGTCCTATTTGTCTTTCTCACTTCCCGCCTCCTCGCTCCACACACTGCTTCCACGAGCTTACAGACTCGGTTGGCACATGGAGCAGTTCAAAATGTCATCCCCTCCAGCTGCTCGTGTGGATTCCTGCAGGACCATGTAGCAGGGCCACAGCGGCGCGTGGTCGCGGGCAGCCTGCAGGTATCCTCGCCCGCAGTCCTCACACACGGCGGGAGGCGGCCGCGGAGGACGCGCCATGGGGAAGCGCTCGCTGGGCCTGCTCCTCTCGCCAACCGTGGGGCTGGACACCTCCAGCTGGCACCATGGGGCACGGAGGTGGCTGCGGGAATGGTTTACACTGCTCCAGCAGCAGCTGGGGGGCCACAGGAGGCACAGGAAACAGCTAAATGGGCCTGGAACGGGTGAAAGCTGGGATCTGAGGTGGATCCCTTGACTCCATGGTAATGGTGAGTTTTTTGGGTTTGTTCCTTTTTGTTTGTGTGTGGTAAAAATTATCTTAGATTGAGATAGAGATTTAAAAATAGACACTCCTATTTACACAAATAGGAAAAGAACGACAACAGATTAATCAGTTGCCTTAGAAAAAGTAGTTAACTTTTTGAACAGTGTTGACACTGCTGTTGTACGAACCCCAGACACAGCTCAGAAGTTATGTCTATAAATGAAGACTGCAGGCTAAAGTTTTCATGCAATGATTACAAAAGCATTAGTACCAAAAAAGAAAAAAAAAAGGAAAGAGAAGAGAAAAACGTCATAGGTCTTACATTTGGAGAGGGATCTGTTTGTTCGTATTTTGTATCTTCCTTCCCATTTGCTTCAGACTGTTGCAGTTGGTATGATCTTCCTTCAATGAAAGTAATATAGTCTTTGTAAGAGCATAACGGGCCTGCCAGGATACCCATGAAATTACAGTTGTAACTTAAATACTCCAGGAGACTTGGCATGCGCCTGTAATTCAAAGACAAGCAGCTTGTGAGAAGGTAAAATGTAGTTTTATACATCTCTCTTGGAACTACAGAGACTTTCTCCTTGCCCGGCACCAAATTAGTATCTGTTCTTACATATCTTCATTATAAATGATTTAAATACCCATAATACAAAATAATAGTAGAACTGGATAGAGTTTTCCTTATCCATTTCAATATCTGCAATACATTTCTCATGCTAATCATGAAATTGCCACGTTTGCTAAAGATTTTATTGCCATTATAACTTATTGATGTAGGTAGAATTCTTAAATATATATGTGACAGCAAAAAACACCACACAGACAATCCCAACTCCTTGTGCCATCCATCTCCTCAAGAGGATTGGGAGGGAGCAAGCAAAGCAAGAAAATTTGAAGCTATGAAAGGAGAGATGTTTGACTGAAGCTGAGCCAGAGAAGGAAGGAAAGAAGGAAGCTCTTTCACTGCACATTTGGTTAATTGTTTGTTTTCTTTCCTCCTCCGCTCCCAAAATACCCAGATCAGTTATCAAAATCCCCCCAATCAAGACTGCTTGGCCCATGGTAACATGATGGCCTCCTGAACAGAGGGAGACAAAGGTAAGGTAAATCTCAGAAACAGGAATTAGACAAACAAGCTCCCTTGCTCATTATTTGACATGTATATTACATGCATTCATTAATATGCCTTATAATGCATAGAACTTAGAATTTATAATTATAAATAATGCTCTATTATTTATATATTATACTAAGATATTAGTATATTTAATACTATAAATAATACTTACATATTATACTAATATATAAAAAGTATAAATAAAAGTATATTTCAATATACTTATTTTAAGAAAAACCCTCCATTTCAATACGCATTTCCTGGAAGAATAGATGCACATCATTAAATTACAAATATGAAGCACGTATGGATCTGTTTTAGATCATTTTGAATCCCTCAATTCCCTTAGTAATTTCTCAAAGCATTAATAAATAATAAAAACAGCATCATCTTATCGTTCCCAAATAAGACCACACCTACATAAACTCTGCGAAAGCCCACCTTACAGCCAAGCACCTCTGTGATGGAGTCAAATCTTCATTTTTTCGAAACATTCCTGGAGAAGAGGGAAGAATCAATAGAAAAAAGTTAATACCCCCAACCATTAACCAGCAATTTCTTTGTAGAATGGAGTGTCATGCTGCAATGTCATTTCTTATTTGCTCAGGTAATTCCAGAGGTTTTACATGATGCAACATTTTATGCTAGAGTTGCGTCAAGTAATTCTTACCACTAAGATAAATTGAGAACACTTTCATATCCTCATATTTTACAGCCTTATTCCCAGTCCAGGGTCTCAGACAAGCTCCAAACCCCATTCAAGGCTGTAGTAACCCAAGGACATCACACTGCTCAGCACACATTTGATGCAAGGTATGAGCACAATCCAAGACAGATTTAAGCAGTTCAAAGCCCAAGGCAGACTTCACAAAACGAACTTTTGTGCCGCAGCCCTAGTGGAGCTGCACAAGTTCCTGGAGAGCAGCCAGGACAGCAGAGGAGGCTCCAGCCTATTCTGGAAGCTCTAACCAGGAGCTCTAAACCCTGTGAGCAGAAGGGGGCAGGCCAGGCCTAAGCTGAGCAGCAGGACTGGATTGACCCTCTCTTCAGATAGTTATAACATGCTTAAATTCAGGAACTCCTCTCAAACAGGGTTGGTTTCTCCCTGCCAGCAGGGCTGGCCAAGCAACACCTTCAGTTACCTCCACAGGCAGGACGCAGAGCTCGGCGCATGCGGCCCCTTCACGTACATGGGCAAATTCTCCTTGCAAGTGCTAGAAAAACTATTTCCATTAGCCTAGTTTCCTAACGAAAATTAGACTTATGCAATCCCACTTTAATTAATGCTTCCTTCCTTGCAGTTTCTAAATCCACCAGCCAGTTCCCAACCAGGCTTGATGAAAAAGGTAACGTGGATAGGAAATTCTAATATGTTTTATGATCATGGGTGACTGTGCAGAATGAAGAGATCCCACTGGTCGCTGCACTCGGGGGAAGGCTTCCAAGCCCAGAGGGGAACACTTGTATTTGCTCCAAACATAGGAGTTTGGATGGAAGCCTATACTTTTAGAATTAAAATAAGAAAAATAAATAAATAAAAAGTATCAAAACAAGTCAAATTTGAGATAAAAGTCCACAGGGGCCCAGGGCATGGGGAGAAGCTTTATTTGATTCTATGACTCATGGAAATAATAGCTATCTAAAGCAAGGATAATCCGTTGTCTTCATGTGACTCCAGGAACTCTGACCTCTAGACACTTCTGACTTTAAAATTGCACATTTAGCCTTCAAAGTTGAGGCAATAGAGAGGAATTAAGCAGTGGGATGTCTCTCTTCTGATAGGACCTGCAAAAATACCTTCTGACATTCCTGACCCTCGCATGGAAGGTCACCCCATCCGCACGCACCCAAGCTCCGGACAGAGTCACTTTCCCTTCTCCATCGTGACGTTTTCTCACGTGCTCCCTAGGGCTACAGGGGAGACTTTCCTGCTGACAACTGGACTGAGAGAGACGTGTGTGAGGAGCTTTGTAAAAGTGGCTATAAACTTTAAGGCTAGAAGATTACAAATCCCTTTTTCTGAATTTAACATGAGCTAAAGCAGCAATTGAACACTGAACAATTCCTACGTACACAGCTTCTAACACAAATAGCTTAGGGAAGCATCCTGTAGAGAACCTGTGAACTCCTACACCACCAACCAGCCAGAGCAAGATCCTGCTGGCTGTGACACCCCACATGAGTATTTTCCCCTTAGTCACAGGAAGCAGCAACTTGCCAGGGGTGCCCAAATGAATCAGCATAAAGCTCAATTAACCACTAAACAGAGCTCAGTGAGTCAAATGCAGGAACCCACCGATAGGCAGAGACCTACAATCTGCACAAATCAAAGCAGAAATGGAAGAATCTGTGCTGAAATATCTGTGGCCTATACTTTTGGAGACTACAAGGAGAGAATAGGCATATTTCAAATTAATTCAAGATATATCCATACAAAAGTATCTTGCAGCCTAGGTCCCCCTCCCTTTTCTTTTTCAAGGCCCATTCACCACCCCTGCATCACAAGCAAGATTGAGGGAACCGCCGATCTCTGCTTATCTCATTCTTCAAACCATGCAGCCCAAAGCCAACACCGTTAGGAACACACCGATATCCTTCCATACAGCCTCCACAGGAGCTCCTGCTCAGCACCGAGCTGCTCTTTCACTACATTTACCAGTATACCCCACTATTACCTCACCTATGTGGCGGTTCTGCTTGTATATCATCACCTTTACATATGCATGAAGACAGGCTCACCAACTCCCTAATCATGTTTAAACATGAGATCGTATCATGCGAATAAAACCTAAACGTGGATATTACATCAGGCTCTTATCTGCAGGACATTTTAATTTGAGGTTGTGGAGTGGATCATGGCCTGAATTCCAAATATTTCCCTAGCAGCAGGCGTCCAAACCTAAAGACACAAACAGGCGACAACAGCGTCAGTTGTTACTAGCACACGGGCAGCAACAAAGCAAACAGGCACAAATGGCAGCTGAGGAGAACTACAAAAACACTAGAAAAGCAAGAAAATAAAGGCTGAAGTTTTGATATCCAGGCAGCAGAGCAAGCAAACTTAGGTCCAAAACAATACTTGAAGATGTAACAGTGGAGAAATGCAATGCAAATCCTTCAACATTAGTGACTTGTCCTGTAACCAAAGTAGTTCAGGAACTGATACTGAAGCTATAATGAACATGCTGTCGTTAATACAACAGGGAGTACTTTGAAAAAATATACAAAAAATACAGAAATATTAAAAGGAATTCCTAGACTTCAGGAAAAAAATCTAGTTACTTAAAAATAAAAGAAAAAAATGTAGATTCACTGACTTATTTCAAGCCAAACACAGAGCAACAGAGCAACTGAACAGATGCATGAGAAAAGCACTTTCTCAGATGAGCATCTGCAGGTTTATAAAATTGGTAGTGCAGCAAAAACTGAACGGGGTCATGATGACCCACCAAAATTGTTACAAGTGTATAGCTCAACAGGGGCGAGCAGCCATCCCAGCTCAGGGGCTGATCAATTTGCTGTTGCTCAAAGTTTCACGAGAGCAAACATGCAAGAACACTTCTAAAAAATACGCTGATAAACGTTAAACATCAGACAAGCACCCTGTTTGTGAAACATTTACTTTCTTAGATAATAACTACACTCTTAAATAAATGATGATCTCTCCCTGAAGCAACAAAAAACCTCCAACCATTTAATCACAGAAAGAAGTCAGCCAAAACACTGTGTGCTGTACAGCAACCAGCAATTCAGCCTGATGATCCCGTTTTGGATTTGCAGGTGTTGAAAATACATTTGCAATAAATACCCCATCTGAAGTACAGAAGCTGCTCAGCACTTGACCCTGTTCGTATTTTCACACTTTAAGCAAGAACAGGCTGAAGTTGCCTGCAAGCTTCCAGAAACATTCAGGGCCTTTCCGCTGAGCACGAGAAGTATTTGCCCTTGAGAAACGTAGGAGGACTAGTCAAGCTACTGGCAAACAAGGAGGAAATGTTTATGGCTGGAACCAGAAGCTTTCTCAGAGGCTTTGGACAGAGCTGCGTTACTTGGGACAGCCAACAAGGCCGTCAGTGCCCACACAACAGTACGGAGTAGAGCTGGGACAGAAGAGCAGATTTGCTGCAAACCAGCAGTAAATCACAATCCTTACAGCCTCCCTCCCCAAAAATAAGGAGTATTTTGAGTATATGGTTTATTACCATGATTCAGTGAGGCAGGTGGCAATACACAGCTTAGACCAGTGCAAATAAAAAGGAGTTTCTGAAAAATTTCTCTAACATAAGGGGGAAAAAAAACAGAAGTTATCTCCTACATTCCTATTTTCCCATGTTTTATCCATCCATTAAAATATCCTCCCTCTCAGGAGCTGTGTGGACTGCGCTTTCATTACAGGGGTGTGTGGGCATGGGCTCTGCTAGCTCCTTTGGAAATCTTAAGCACAAGAACATGAGGGAAAACAGCTTAAGACAGCTTGGTCACTACCCTATAAGTCGATACTGCAACAAAGTAAACAGAGAGATTTCAAATACTAGTGTAACCTTATAATTGCCAAAATATCAGCCAAAGGAAAAGGGAGGGCATAAACTCTTTAGAGTACACGCTCACTGCATCATTTCTTTGTTGCAACCTCGTTCTCAATGCCTGAACAGATCAGCATCAACATCTCAGCTGCTGCTTTCCAAAGTGGAAAGTGCCACGTCCATCAGGAGGAAGGAATTAATTCGGAAAGGAAACAGAGTTCCAGGGAAGATCATTTAAAAGTCATGAAGCTAGAGCTGAAACCCAAGGCACGTGGGACAGGAGATGGGCTCCCACGGGAGCTGCCGAGTGCACCTTCCCTGTCGGGAATCAGGCAGAATAAGGCTCTGGAAAGCAGGACGCAGCAGCTGGCAGCAGCAAAGAACACCGTGCTGCTGGTTTCCTACTCATGTCTAACCATGCTTTTCCCTGGAGCAATCTAATATGAGAAATAATTTGGAAAAATTAGATGAATATTGCATTATTTAGATGAAAATTACACTTTAAAAGATTTTTTTTAAATTCTTTTAGGTAATATTTACATTGGAGAAAAGAAATTAAAATGAATTTTGAAGAAAATGGGAGGTTTCTTCCCCCCCACATGCCCCTTAAACATCGAGTCTCATATTTTTCATTTTAGTTAAATCTGAAAAGAACTAAAAATATGTCTTAAGATACAGAATTTTCATGGGGTATGAATGTAAAAAAATGAAAAGAATTTATGTTTTAAGATTTGGTAAGTATTAGAACTAAAAGGAAGTTGCCACAAAGCATACAGATTAGTAAAATTTGATTTGATAGAGAACAGATCCCAGAATTGCAGTAAAATGAGTGAGATTCTGTGTGGATAAGGGCTTTGGTAGCTAATCACAGACTGGCAGAGGTTGAAAGGCACGGGGCACAGGACGGCATCCAGGTGGGTTTGGAAGTTCTCCAGCAGAGACTCCACAACCTCCCTGGGCAGCCTGTTCCAGGGCTCTGGCACCCTCACAGGAAAGAAGTTCCTCCTCATATGGAGATGGAACTGCCTGTGTTTCAACTTACATCCATTGCCCCTTGTCCTGTCACTGGCCACCACTGAGAAGAGCTTGGCCCCCTCCTCCCTACATTCTCCCTTTATGTAGTTATACATGTTAATCAGATCCCCTCTCACCCAAGTTTCTCCAGCTTCTCCAAGCTAAACAGGCCCACTCAGTCTCTCCTCATACAAGAGATGCTCCAGTCCCTTAACCATCTTTGTCACTCTATGCTGGACCCTCTCTAGAAGCTCCACATCCCTCTTGTCCTGGGGAGCCCAGAACTGCCCCCAATACTCCAGGTGCGGCCTCACCAGAGCTGAGCAGAAGGGCAGGATCCCCTCCCTTGACCTGCTGGCAACACTGCTCCTGATGCAGGCCAGGATCCCATTGGCCTTCTTGGCCACGAGGGCACACTGCTGACTCATGGTTAACTTGGTGTTAACACTGCTCCTGTATCTCAAGAGCCACCTAATACCCGACTCATTGCAAGATACAGGAATAGTTAAGCACTGACAACACAACCCTTCCCCTCCCCTGCCTCAGTGCAGCACTTATAAAAGTTTCGGTAATTGTAGTTATTAATTGCCACCATCTTCAGGTAAGAGCATGTTTCCTTCACAAGTCTGGGGAAAAGGTATTTCAGAAGAGCAGAGAAACAAGAAATTTTCTTCCTCAACTCTGTCATCAGCCTAATGTGCTGCTTAAGTCCAAATCTCATCAAACAGAATGAATGTGGTCACAAGCTGCCTCCAAACCAAGTAAAAACATTTCTGCCTTTAAGACATACGCATGTGATGCCAAAGATAATCAACAGAAAACACAAAACAAGCCTTAATATAGCAGCTATTTGTTTCTGGCAATGTTCAAATAACAAAAAGGAAAGAACTGTCCAGGACCGAACAAGGATAATTTGAAAAATCAATCAGGAAACACCAAAGGCAGGGTTAAGTTTGTAATTCATGCAGTATCTTGAGGAAAGGTTAGTATTAGTTACCAGGTTTAAATGATTTCTCTACAACTTTGTATACAACAAGTCTGCTTCTAAAGTAGACACACAATAAGTGCAGGAGGTTAGTAACAATTATAAGGATGGTTCATTGCTTATTTATGGGATTCTGTGCTAGTGCTCAGCTGGGAATCAAAATACATCTGCACTCGGAGCAGACAGACTCGTTAATACATGACACGAGTGGCCTTCGTTGTTATATCCAGTTCTCCCCAGGACTTGAAGCTGTAACAGTGAAATCAGGCTCAACGCAAGGAATAAGCTGCCGATAAAAGGCACAGAGGATTTGTCTTTACCTCTAATTCAAAGGAAATTAAACAAATAAATAAATAATAAAAAGGACTAAAGTTCCTTAAAGCACCCTGGTATACAGACTGAAGGGTAGCTTACTTCATTTTATAAAATATTATATAAATTAAATGGAAAATTAAAAATAGCTGAAAGGAGACTTACCATCATGAATCTCAAATGCCAAACTAGTGATCTTCTGTGTAATGATCATCATTGGACTGTTACAGGAGAGGGGAAAGAAAAAAGAAAGAACAGTTCATAAAGAAGTCCAGGATTTTATTTCATAGATCCACAGTATTAGGGAAAAGTTTATACTAATAGTCCAAGTGAACACTATTTTCATTAGCATATACTCAAGTACAAAGTTTTTAGAACTCAAAACATCATTTTTGACACAATGAAGGCATTTTATTACTTACAGCACTTGACAAACCATACCCTTTACTGGTGTACTGGGTCTCACAAGCATAGTCAGTGCTCCGCATTTTATTATGTTAATGTAAAATATTTTATGTATTTTTTTTAATGTTAAAATATTTTATAGTGGAAAGAATATAGTATGACAAACACTAAGCCATTATACGCATTATAAATTATCAACAGTAGCAGTAAGTTCAACACTGTCATAATTTATCTAATTACATTGACCGTTTCCACCACAAAACACACACACACACACACACACACACTAACACCCAGTTCTGTATGTAGTTTTTCCACTTAGAATTATTATAACAGAGTTCATTTTGTATTGCACTTGAGCAGATCTTGACTTGTCACAGAAATACTCCGTAGTGGTTGAGAGACTTAGCTATTACCACTATAGAGGTCAAAACCTTTACAGAGAGGCCATTACCATCTTTATGGTGTCTAAGAGCTTTCAACTGAAGTAAATCTCAGCACTAGCAACCACTAACAGCAAGGCAGAGGGAATAAAATGCTTAAAGCAGCCTACAAGAACGTAAAACTTAGCTCTGAAATCATTTTTTTAGAAGTATATTGGGAGCCTACTATTGAAGTATATTGCTAAGCCTACTCCTAGGCTTAATTTGCCTAGTAATAATTGAGCTAGGGACAAAAACTGATCATATTATAGGATGGACACAATTTTGTCCAACTCTTTTCACAGCACTTAGTATTTTTAATCACGTTTAAGGTGACTGAGCGTGCTGACCAGGGGTACAATCCAGTATCTTGAGTACCAAGGAAGAATTTGTTGATGCCTGAGGTTCACCAGCTGCCTGGCCTTACTGCCCTGGAGCTGAGAGTGAAGCTGAGTGATCGAGTCCAAAAAGGTTCCTCTCAACCTGCAGCACGTCCTTCCTTCTGCTTTGAAGGAACCCCTGCTACAGGCCTCAAGGTGGGGATGCAGTGGACATTTATCCTCTCTCGGTACATACATCAAGCGCCCAAACTCACACAGATAGTTTAAATCCAAGAGCTCAGAGGTAAAATCAGAAGCTGATGGAGGGTTGAGGGCATCCAGGCAGAGCACAGCCATGTTCTGGCACTTATGGAGGTAGCAGAGATCTGAGCTAACACCACACCACGAGCCACAGGGAGAGGCCCTGCCTGAACACAGTACAGTACAAGTACAGCGTGCGTGACCTGTTACCAACACCCAGCTGCAGCACCACCAGTGCAGTTGCACGGCTCCAGAATCAGCTCGGGCTTGGGTCACTGGAAATTGTGCTCTTTGGCCCCAAGGGCAGCATTTGTGGATTTCTCCCTCCTAACCACGAGATTCAATTCAGTTCAGCATTCTTGCAGCCAACGTGATGAGCATCTCCGCTCATCACACACAGGCTGTATAACGAGGTATGAGCTCCTGAAATCAGTGGGGATCTAGTTGGCACCATGAGTGCAGAACCGGGAAATCCAGCTCGTGCTGATGGAGCCACTTAGTGGCTGGTCAATTCAAATGCCATCGAGTACATCTGCACTGATTCCACCTCCATTGACTGCACCCCGGACTTGGTCATCTGGCTTTGACATAGAGCCCTAGGTGTAGGTCAGGCTCAACTGAGCCATAATCTGGGACATCTCTCTCAGAGGAAGCACGTACTAACCCCCAGGCTTCAATACTTAGCCACTGGGCCTCTGTTTCTAAGTCAGTCTGAATCAGATTCCACTATCAAAGACTGCGCCCAAGCTGACTAAAATGCACTACTGCACAATACAGGTAACATTCAATTACAAAGACTAAGGCCATTCATAGTGTTTTGGAAAAATACTTAATGCATTTTTAAAATAGACTTACAACCATCCCCTGCCCTCCCTTTCCTCAAATACACAATTTGCTTTTAAATCAACAAACTCACCATCAGCAGGGCATTCATTTATTGCAAGTATTGTGCTTTGCTCCTTACCTTCCACAGCACAGAGAGAAATCACCATGATGGCTCGTTTTTACTTTACCAATTTTATTACATTGGCTGGCATATAACTCCCAGTATTAAGTTAAGCTAATTATATACAAAGTTTTGCCCGCACTAGCACTGTATTTCCGAGGGGTGTTACTACTCCACCGTACAAGTGACTGTTTCCTTGGCTTTCCCTTTCTGAAAAATCCAATACAAGATTGAAAGAAGAAAATGCTAAATGCTAAAATCCATAAAACATTCAGATTTTCTTCCTAGAGTGGCAGCAGATGTGGCAGACACACATCAGGTGCAGTTCAGAGTCCATCACGTTGTTGTGGGTGGTAACTGGAATTTTTGGGGGGAAAAAGGCAAAGCTGAAAATCCCCAGGGCCACTGAGTCCTTAACGCTAGAGTGTAAGGAAGCAGGCAGTGTGTTGGGCATTCTGACAGACACTCATTTACAAAATTCTGCATTTGCATGTTTTAAGTATGTGAATATCTATATGTGTGCTTAAACCAATACCAAAGTCTAGCTTTGCCCAAGTTTATAACCGGTTGACACATTTAAATCAGAACAGAAATAGTATCACTCAGAGGAATAAGCTAAAAAGTGCAAGTGTGTTTATTCTTACCCAGAAAAATCAGCAGAATACTGTCCATAATCAAAGATATAGACTCTAGTAATTTGGCACACAGTGAGGTATCCCAAAGCAAAAACGAAGCAATACCTGAAAGAGAAAAAATTGCTTTTCAATTAAAAATCATTACCTTTTCTTCATTGAGTTAATTAATGCTTTAATTTTTTTTCCATATTTCTCATAACTGTTTTATCGTTTGAGTTGATAAACATACCTCTACCTTGAACTTTGCATTTTAAATGCACAGACCTTAGGAATTCTATTATTCATAATATGTATTCACACAAAAATGATGGCATTGATAACTTCAAGTGCTATTAAAAAAAAACAGAAAAATAAATCCTATGAAAAGAAAATGAATCTGCTGCACATTTAATACAAAGTTTTTGTGTGGGTGTGTGTCTTAGTGCACAAATTGGACAAATTATACATGGAATGTATGGATTCCGTACACTCCAACTCCAGCACCGCAAATCCCACGGCAGCTGTTTGCAGGGGAACTGGAAAAGACAATTAATTTTCCAATACACCCATTAGAACATTTTGGAATGCAAACCCAACAGTAAGCCCTTATGCTTCTTATTAAAGCTCAGCTTCAGTAGATATACAAAAAAATACAGATAAAAATCATCTCATAGGAGTTGGTCTGACTTCACAGATTTTCCAGTGCTTTTTTTCCTCTTAAAAAGAACAGAATAAAATACCAGTGAGAATTAATTTGTCAAAATACCCCCCAAACACTGCTAAATTGTTTGCTGTCAAGAAGATGGTAAACACCAGACGGGATTTACATGTTGGCTGAGCCTTTAAAAGAAGGAGCCACAGGAGGGAGGAGGATGAGACAAGAACTAGAACTAGGACTTGGGTGAAACAATGAGCAACAGGAAGGCAAGAGCTTAGAACATTTTTCCATTGTTTCACATAAAATATTTTTGTTAAAAGTATTTACATAATGAATTTTAAAATTTTAGAAATGATTTTCCATTTTGAAAGCGACAACTGTTCCTGTTACATAGAACACTTGCAGATTAACCTTAAATAATTGAAAATTGTGCTGGATATAAATCACTTAATGTGTTAAAACAGTCAATCCTGGGACTACAGAGTCATTTTTCATCCTATACAGCATATTGACAGCTATATTAAACCATTCATTCAAAATGGAATGCTTTAGGGCACCCAATTAAGCAATAAAATGCTTATTTTATTTCTATAAATATAAATAATCCAGAAGCAGCACTCTATCAGAAGGCTAATTAATTAGTACATTAATGCTGATAAGACTCCAACAATGCTAAAAATAATTGTGCCATTGCTGAATTATTTCAGCAAGAAAAGCAAGTATTTTAAGACATGTAGTAGGTTACAGATACCAGGAGTATGATACTCCTGGAACACTGTTAAAGAAGTCTGGAATTACTTCTTTCAGGAAATATTATAAGGAAAACTTGCAAAGAAATTCACATAGGTTTTATACATATCTATATGTAGATATGTTGGTATACATGTCTATACATATATGTGTGAAACCACAACCATCTATCACAGCTATATTTGAAGAGGGTTTTTCCAGATTTTATTGCTTCAGCTCTGCAAGTCTGAACATACCACATAACTGGATGGTAACAGCTCCAGTAATAACTCAATGATCTACATAGATGCTCACAAATAAAGAGGCAATGTTGGATGTTGCATTAGGTCAAAGCCAGCCTTTCAAAATCATTCTTACTGCATGCAAGTGAAAAATGCACTTTGCTAACAGGACAACACCGACACCACCCAGTCCCAGCTAGGTGTTCAGATCTACCTGGGATTATTTTACGCTGCCAGATCAACGAGTCCAATGTCACACTAAGGTCTACCTGAAATGGCTTGCAAGACATTTCTGGACTGAAATATAGCCATGTCAGTAAAACAACTCACAAAGACAGAGATGGACACAGAATGGACATAGATACTTTTTTTTTTTTTAATTTTGAAATGCTCACATTTGAAAAATCCTGCAGAACTGTTTTCAATTCCCTTCTGCATTTCGAGGATCTTCCCCATTCTATCCCATGCAAGTGAGCATCATTTTATAACAGGATTTTAGCTGGCAATTAACTGCTATTTCTAAAACAAAGTATATTGGGCATCTTATCCCATCAGGGAAAAAACTTTCAGTTTCCAGGCTGCCATTTTCCAAAGTGATGACAACTTTTTCTTCATTCCTGAAAAATATAAAACTACGCAGTTCCTGATTATAAAGAACCAAATATACAGACATAGTAAGAAAATCCCTTCATTCCCCCCAAATGGGTAAGAAGGTGGCAGCAATATTCTCCTCTTTCCTACCCACAAGAAAGAAGAAAAAAGGGGCTATTTTATTTACTACATTTGAATGGTAGTACAGATTTACTTCAGTCCTATGGGTTACCAGGATGTAAACAGGTTGCTAGAGCCATTTACCATGATCTACGTGGTCCTTATGGAAGACCAGGATCACAAGTTCTCTGAGCACTGCTGCAGAGCCATAGATACACACAAGGTGGGACTCTCCTCCATAAAACAGGCCTCATTAAGACATATCTTATGCATATGCATAAGGTCTTCAATAGTGAAGGAAGCCACAGGTCTCTGTTCTAGACCTTACAGGCCTCAAACCCTGTTTTCTCTCCCTCTCATTTGCCCAATCTTCATCACATTTATTTCCCAGTTTTTCCTAAATAAGGGAGGCAGTGAAAACAAAGCATGGCTTCTCATGAAGAAAACTAAACGCAGTGTTGAGATTTTGGCAGCAATCCATTCCCCACCTAATGAGAGCACCTGAAAAACAGTGCAGGCCCCCAGGGGTTTGCAAGCAGGTCAACACCAGCTGGTTAGAGAGAAATCACCCTAGATGCAGCACTTGGGGCCTTGGTTTAGCAGGCAGGGTACTGATGATCACCTGAGTTTCACCTTGTATCCATGGCCCCTTGTCCTGTCACCAGCCATCACTGAGAAGAGCTTGGCCCCTTCCTCCCTACCTTCTCCCCTCAGGTACTTGTACACGTTGTCAAGATCCTCTCCGATCTTCCCCTCTCCAGACTGAACAGACTCAGCTCACTTCGTCTTTCCTCATCCGAGAGATGTTTGAGGCCCACGTGGGGGGCGCTCCTCGTGACCCGCATGGTGGCGCTTCCCACCACGTCCATCCCCAGGATCCCTCCCGGGAGGCTTCTGGCGCGGTCGGAGGCCCGGCACGGCGGCCGCTCCTGCACGGCGGCTCTCGGGGCTCCCAGCCGCGCTCGCTGCCGGCCCACACACGGCCCGGCGCCATCCACACGTCACACCTTTAATCTCCCAAATTTACCCACGCGCTTCAGCCGGGCAGCCTCATACCCCTCGTTAATGAGGGGTTTCGTTAAGCAGAGAGGTCACAGCAACACCTCCCCACCACCACCCCCCACAGCAGATGCAAAGGTTTGCCACAGGCTGTGGCCCTCACCATCCCACAGGTCTGGGGTGCAACTCGCTGATCAGTTTAGATCTTGTACAAGTCCAGTTTTACTTTAAAAGATTAACTAGAGGTCCAGAAAAGCTTTGCAGACTTCCTAAACTAAGAAAACGTTTCTGTTTCTCTGTTGGCAAGAAACCAGAGCACTCATTCCCCTGACCTCTTCAGAAGCCCGTTCTTAAAAACCCTCAGAGTAAAGGAGTAAAGTTTTGCAGAGCCAAAGTACAGGAGGTTTTACCTCAACTACAACAAAAATAAATTATAAGTTGTAAACCAAAAAAGTATTTTTACTCAGCTTTCTGCCTTAGTACAAAAGAGATCAGTTTTAAAAATCTGTGTTTTCCTTCCACCTTTACCTGTTAAGTGAATTATGTTCCTGTCACCAGAACCACAGATTTAATTGAGATTAGGCCAGATTAGCCCAGAAGCAAGTCATAGTATTGTGATTATTACAAATACCTAAGGCAAATCAGCATGCAATGAATACACAATTAACTCTCTAAGAGTATAGCTGGGACTATTTCCTAATAACTCTGTCAAAATGACCTTACTTTATTTGCCAGCAGAGGCAGATAAAGTCAGTCATGTCCAAGTGACATTGCAACAACAAGGAGGCACCAGAAAGAAAAACACAGATTATCTTATAGATATGTCTGACTTCTGCTTAAAAAAAAGTGCAGAACAACAAAGGCAAAAAAAAAAATAAGTGGCTTGTAAGCAAATAAGACAGAATATCCTATTGCACAAGAAAAGGCCTCCTGTCTAAGTCTGCCATATTAGAGTTTAATTCATTATTTTTTGGAATTTCCCAGAGCACCAAAAATAATGACATTTAATAGATTCTGCTTATACTATTCTTAAGAAAAACCCTATTAGATAAACTAACCATTCTTAATCTACATTCTAATACATGCATACAAATTATAGCATACAATACTCATACTTAAACAGTCTCCTCTCCAAGCAGTATTTTACAAAAGGTGCTAATCAGGAAAATCTCTGTTTAATTCCATAAGAAACAGAAATGTAAAATAATATCTCGCCCTATAACATTTCTCACCTAATCATTCTGTTTGTTGAGTAACACTCAAACACTTACTTGGGATTTTTTATACTCTACATATATTCTTTACCAAAAGGGCTCCAAGAATCAATTTTCTTTTAGCTTCTAGAAGAAAGCTAACTCAAACAGTCTGAACTCAACAGTCGCTATTTCACCTTCATTTGGTGTTATCAAACCACAGTAGCTCTGTTCAACAGACTTTTACAGCATCATTTCTGCCACTGCAGAAGGCTTCACCAATCTCATTCCCACTGGATCCCTCTTTCAAAGGCTGGCACTACTGCAACAGAGCCAACAGATCTCCAGCATCACTCACCTATTTCAACTGTTTTAACAGTTCAGGAGGATAAAAAATATCTGAGGGTCACCAATATCTGAAACTTCAACCATAGCTTATTCAACCGCATATCCTTTTTAACCAACGTTACCTTATAAATTCCTTCCATGAGGATGGCTCTTCTGCCCACCCCACCATCTAAAAGCCAGGAGAACATCAAGGGTATCACTCAAGCTTGGCCTCTCTCTAGTCCAGGATCCAGGACACATCCTTCC